GGCAAGTTCAAGGTCACACCTTGGGTGAAACTAGCATCAACTGAATTACATCTTTGAAAATGCAGTTCCTTCTCTGAGCTCTCTCATCTCCTTGGGGTTGTGGGAGAGGAGCTATCTGAGTAGGTAAACTTACTTCAGAGATGAGGGAATAGAAAGAAAATAAACTTTAAAGTACAAACACTGCACTTCAAAGTTAGGAATACTAAACCAACTATGAGCACCACTGATTTTAAACAACTGAGTTACACATTTTGTTTGCTGCCCCTCTCTCCTGCCACACAGTATTTCTAAGCATTAAGCATAAGATATTTATTCTGATTTCTAAGATTTCTGGGAAGCAGAGGACATTAATCTTCTGTGGAGAAAGGAAATGCTTCTTATTCAAAAGTGCAGGAACATTTGAAACCTTCCCAAATTCTAGCTAAACAAGTCAGCACAGCCACCAAAGGAAAAAATAAATCTGTGTTCTTCCTTTCTCACAGGTCAATTATCACACAGAGCATGGGAAGCTGCCAAAAACACTGCTATGTTCAGACACTAAAACTTGCATTTTATTTGCCTGCAGCTGCATTTCACAAAGGAGAGAGTGTTAACCCCCCTCTCCAAGACAAAACATGGCCTACCCCCAAAGCAAGAGGTGATTGATTCCCTGTTGTTTTTTTCTTTCAGTGTATTATTACTTCTCTTTTGTCCCAAATGCCATTTCGCTAAAATGCTTTGATTGCAAAATATTGATTTTTTTATTTCTCATTTCTTTTCATCCTTGTTTACCAGCACAGACAGGCAAATATAGCAAAAAGAGTAATGAAGCACCATCTAATGTTTTTCAGGTTCAGATTTCAAATTTGCTCAGCATGGTCCCTATTTTATTTTCAAAGATGCTGTCCCACGGCCTTGAGTTCTAGCAGCTTAAAATGAGATTTTATGCAAGATCCATTTTAAATGAAATGAGGAAAAAAATAATCCCAAAGCTCTATAAAACTGAGTTTTTGCATTAAGTTTTCAGCCATAAAGCCAAAGTTCCCAAATTTCTAGCGTGTGCCCTACTTCTTTTGTCTGAAATAAAGGTACTATCAAGCAGCATCACTGTATGAGCTTAGAACTGGAAAAACTCCAGGATTTAAAATGTGAAGCATCTGGTTTCCTCAGCAACCCAGAAAATGTATTTTGGTGCCTACTGGGTATCAGTGATGATGCCAATTGTCATGTTAATTTTTCAGATCTTTGCTGTTCATAATCTTCTTCTGTCATTTAACTGATCTCTAATCAGCCAGTAAACTTCCATTACTTTCTTCACCTTGATTTTTGGATGACTAAAAAGTACACTTTATAGCTCACCAGCTTTAACCAATACAACAAAAATAATGGTTCATAAAGCAAAGCAAGAGGTGGTCTGTGTCAATGAATCCAGAGACCCAAAAAAAGGGCACATTTTAAATAATTTTTTGTTTCAACAGCAACAATTTAGGATAGCAGAGTTCTGTACAAACAATTTCTTGTCAGTGTCACCAGAAAAGGTGATTGACATTTAAAACAGTCACAGAAAATAAAAAAATCATGAGGTCCAAATACCCATTCAACTATGGCTACATCCTATTACAGGCAATCTCTAAATTTCAAAAGAAGTAAGCAACTCTTCTTAAATGGCCAAGTTATGCAAGTAACTAATTTTTAATAAATTCTGTTATTTTCAGATCTTTATCACTTGAGCTTTTTGCTGCAAATTTTCTTTGTACCTAGCATTAAAAAATATTAGTGTGCAAAATTTAGAATTTTGATTATTAGAATACATAGATTAGAATAGATTAGAATACAACTTCAAAAATGTCTAAGTACACGCTGAGGGAACAGTGCTTGGTGAAAACTGATTGAATGGTATCTACTAATGCAATTCTTGATTTGGTAAATTCCTTCAATATGCTACATCTTTACCCTGTTCCTTCTCCTAAGTGCTGCTTCCAAATACGTATTATTTCCATACAAAAATAGTAATTAACACTATAGAGGAAAAGCACTTTTTGTACCACATGCCTTTCATGATCTTCCACTCTATTTAGTTAAAATGCCTGAGTACCACTTAAACCATGTCAATAAACTTAAAACAAACATTTACTATCAGATAACTAAACCAGCAAGAGAAAAACCCAGACAAACTACTATCTATAATATCTATGACCTATCAAGATACTTTAAACTAGATCTTCAAATCTTCAACTAGAATATAAGACTAAAACCTGATCTGTCTGAACATACCAGGTCATAACCAGAGGGAGGAATAAAAATACAATTGTGCATGGAGGTAAAAGTTTAAAGATTGCCTTTTTTTTTTTTTATGGTAATAAAATTCTCAACTGTCCTGGCAGATCTGAAAGATAGCACTTGGATAAAGCAGAAAACAAGATGTGCACTTTAATAAGATGCACTCTAGAAATGCAAAACCAGAAAACCAGATCACAGTTTACAAGGATTAAGAGAAAAATATTTATCTGAGAGGCACTACAGGCTTCTGAGTTTCCAGGCAGAGGGCAGAAATAGCTATCTGTGCAGTCAAAAAAGGACAGCCATATATACCAGATAAAAATAAGGCTTCATAATTTTTCCGTAGCACCTGAAACAGATTTTATGCAAGTTCTCATAACTTCCACAATAATACATATTAAAAAATCAGACAAGTCCTTCCTTAGGTATTTTCTCAAGCTCTGCTTTTCTGTGGAAAAATGTTAAAGAGAACAAGAAAATGCAAATCCCTTTCTATAGAAAATCCCACACCTAGTCTTCAATTCCAGGTCTGGACAAGAAATTAAAAGTCTGAGTTAAAGACATCAGTCCTTGAACTTTAAACCTGAACTTCCAGTTTTTTACCCCAGGGTATACAAAAACCAAAAAGGAATTCCATATTGCACCACAAACCTCAGATAAAAGAATTGTCACCTGGATTCTCCACGAGAATATTCTAGGTTAGCTAGTTACACTCCAAGTTTACAACTCTCACAATTTAACTGTTGATGTTAAAGAAAATGCCTCCAGCAACTTCAAGGCTAAAGCCAATTCAAATCTCTGCATGTGATCCTAGTCAGCAGCAGGAAATAGACATTTTTCTACAGACAGGTTTATGTATTTCATACAGAGAAGCTGAGGATGCTCCATCCCTGGAAGCATTCAATGCCTGGTTGGACAGGGCTTGGAGCACTGCTTTAGTGGAAGGAATCCCTGCCCATGGCAGGGGGAACTGGACCTGGATGATCTTTAAAGTAAGTTCCTTTCAGCCCAAAGCATTTTATAGTGCTTTGTTTCAGTGGGGTTTTGTTTTGTTCTTGTTTAAGATGCTTCGAGAGAGGTTTACAGAACACCACACCACTGTTATCCTCAGTGGAGCTATCCAAGAGAACAGGACCTCAAAGGTTTCACTCTTAAAAGCCTGGATCCTTCCTTCTTTCCAACCTGAAAAGACCAGGTACTTTCACTTGAAAGCAGCAGGGAACAGTCCTGAAAAAACAGGTCAGATGCATGAAGACACAAAATGGAACTGTCTCAATATGGATTTCAGTGGTCTCAAAAAAACAAGTATTAAAAAATAACCTTTAGAGCTGCCTATAAATGATCTAATGAAAGATCATTCTCAAGTGTCAAGTAGAGCAAGAAACTGTGTGAAAAAGCAGTGTAAGAGTGAATGGAAATAAAACAACCTCAGTGACATTTAACATTTACACAAATGTCAGACTCCCCACCCCTTGGTTAAACATTCAGCTGGGATCTCAATCTGTGTCTGGAGGGTGCATGACCAATTTTGTAAAACAAAAAGAAACACAGCACAAAAATCAGAAACCCGTGTTTCTAAAAAGATGAAGAGTCAAAAAAATGAGACTGTGAAGACTGGGAATTAGGGCTCTGCTCCAGAATTATTAATTACTTATTTATGGCTGTAGTCCATGCCTGAACTTCCATTCCTGCATGACATTTGCTGTAACAGAACTGAACATGACCTAAACCCTCATGATTTATGGTTGCAGACTAGAAGAAAAGGCATTGGCCAGGCATCAAAAATTAATCAATATTCTGAACTATTAATACAACAAGAATTCTGTAGAATTGTTTAAAGGTCCAGGAAAAAAAACAGAACTAAACCCCCACATCCTCAGGCTAATACACTGAATAAGAGCTCCAAGAACAGCTTCTCTAAAGATAAAGAGAAAAAAAATGTTCTTCAAATTAAAATTTATTGCAGTACATGCATTTCTCTCTTCTTACCCTGTGTAGAGGAAAACTGGGATATACTGCGTGTGAAATTTACCACCAGTCATCCATAATGACATCTCTTGCCCTAGGGCTCAATGCCCTTTGGGATGCCTCTCTGATTTATCTGACACAGTCTACATGTCTTTTTACCCAGACCTCACCCAGCTCACTGATAAGGTCTACGTTTTCTTATCTAAAAAGATATGAAGGATAGTCTGATTATCCTATCCTAGCACTTCCCAAGAAATATTAAGTATAATAATAGAGCATTTTTAACAAAAGTTATACAAAATTCTTCACGAGATCAGTTACAGAGAAATCACCCTAATTGCTTCCACTGATCCAACCTCTCATTCATTCAGCCACATACTGAAGTCATGATCAGCCTGTGCTTCAAATCAGTGTGGTTTTGGTAAGGTGTTGGGTGGGAAAGGATTGATTTTTCAGAATATGTGCCCTTATAAAAATGCCTCAGCCACTGGTAATATTAATATGGAAGCAGAAGCAGCTGGTGCAGCAGAAGCAGCTGGAATACAAAATCCAACACCACCAACGTGCAATCACAGCAAGGCAACAACCTCTGTTGTGAATTCCAATTTTTTTGTCAAAAATTCAAACAAATTCACCCTTCATCATATTCCCATTACACCAATGGACTGGAACATTAATCTCCAGAATGTACATTCTAGTCCAGACTCTCTGACAGCCTTGGAAACTGAGATGCATCAGAGGTGTTTATCTGACTCGGGGCTCTCCAACCTTACCTTCTTCTGAAGAACGTTGACCTTGCGCTCCTTCACCTCCAGCATGTCCTTGAGGTCATGGATCTCTCCTGCTTGAGTCCCCTTCTCCTCTGCCATCTCCTGGATCTGCTTTGTCTTCTTGTTCAGCATGGTCTCCTTCTCTTCCAGACGTAACCGCAGCGCGTCCACCTGGGTTCAGAAACACAGAACAAGCTTTGCTTAGCACAAGGAGAGAAACTTCAGGGAAGTTAAACTACACTTCCACAGGGGAAATATTACAAATAGATTTGGAACTCAAACACCCCTTTCTTTAGGAATTCAACTTATATAAGATTGAGATAAAAATCATAAGTGACAGGAGACTAAATACTAAAAATAATCAACCATATTATTCCCAACAATATGTGAATAATGCTCCTTCTTGGAAAACCTCAAATCATACTTCTCATATAACTCAGGCTTGTATCACACAATACTAAAATTTTTTTCCTCCAAGTAGAAGCCAACATAATGTGTTGTGGAGTTCTCTCACATGAAGGGAAACTGACCCCTTTATTTGAAACATTACTAATAATCAGAGAATAAACACAGACTCCTTGTACCAGACAGTCACTTTATATTTTAGGTTTTGATCACAGTAGTAGCTGAGCCTGAAGGTAATGAAAGCAGAGCTCTTTGCAGCCACTGCAGATCACAACTGGAAAGAGGTTACCTTAGGATGGCTAAGAATATTTTTGCTTAAAAAGCAAAGTAATTGTTTAAATATAATATGTTTTTCACAGCATGCAGTTTTATATTAAAGGTAAAATAGAGCAAACTACACAGTACAAGATATTGTGGGTGCAATTTGGACACACAAACACACTTGGAGCTCCAAGGGCCTGAGTGAATTTAGAAACACACTCTGGGAGCTCTGTGGTGACCTCAAACTTCAAAACTGCATGTTGAGCATCTTTTGCTTTTCCTTCTGCGTTTCTCTTCCATATGTGAAACAGAGCTCACGAGACAAAGGAAATGGGAGAAGGAATCAGAGCTACCTGAATACAAATTCACTGAGAAGAGTAAGGTCACCACAGAGCACAGACTAATCTCAAAGGCTATTGTGCAATACGAAATCCAACACCACCAACCTGCTCACGATCCAAAAGAAAGCCACTGACCCTTATCCACTCAGCATTCAGCCAGAGCTCAAATCTGCAAGCTTGGCTGCTAATCTCATTTGACAGTATCAGATTTGGTTCCTGTTAGCTGAATCCATTACAGGACATCAGTCACACAGAGTAAACAGGCTGATCAATGAATTTCTTGGTCCTTCTGCACAGCACAGACTAGCAGAGACATGAAGTGAAAGGATGACAACCACTGGACAGCCCCAGCTATGGTAAGAATTTAGGAATTTACTCTGTTTATGGTGTTTTGTGCAACATTTAGTTTTAACATATTATTCTAATTCCATTTTACTTTGCATTGCTAATGGAAAAGTTGTCTCTGAGGCTCTGCATTTCCAGTGTTCCACCCACAAAACTCTTTGGTATTTTGTCTGCCTCCTTTCATACAGAGCAGAAAGCACTTTCCTTCTTTTCCAGAGAAAAGAGCTGCCCTGCTCTCCCCATCAGCTCTGCAATCCCACTGCCACCTCTGTGTCTGGAGCCTTCTCACTTACACATACATTATTAAAATCACATTCCTGACTTCTCACACAGCAAATGGGGAATATAGTGTGATCTGCAGGGATATTAAGAGTACCAAGTCTTACCCAAATATGATTTAAAGGATGGGATAGTATTTGCAATGAAAGGTTTAGCAGGTGGATCAGGCTTTGTCTTTTTTAAAACATACAGTTCTATAGATGGATTAGGTATGTTCTTCCCTGGGAATCTTTGATATTAAAGCTAAGAGTCACTTTCATTAATTCTTCAAAGGAAACAGAAAATCTCCCTCACAAGAAAAGAGACACTCTCAACAGTTGTGTTGCAAAATATTTGAGACAGTCCAAATGCCTACAGCACAGCAGTAAGTGAAGGGAGAACATCTGCAAATAGAAATTTATCCACAGAATGTTCTCCATTTTCTGATTGATTATTCTCTTTGAACTCTATATTAGCTTATGGTTTGGGGTAAATTGCATTCCTGGTTTTATTTGTGTGAGGTCTTTGCCTAGGAAACCATAGAAAACACTTTCAAAAGTATTTTCAAAGGCTGGCAGGACACACAATCATCACCTTAGCACTATTCCTGGCAGAACACTGCACTTGTTTATCCATGTCAGCTCAGTTTATGCATGGCATCCTCCCACAGTGACAAGAATTGAGGTCTGTGGGAGACAGATGATGCCAACTCCACCAGAGTCAGCTCAGGATTTTCTCAGTACACGGAAACAATCGGGCAAACACCACTGAGGTGCTGACACCCCTTCTCCTGAATTCTGTGTCCTGGATGGTTTTGTCTTAACCCTGTGTTAACCCAACTGCTTTCCCAGTAATGGACTGCCATGTCTTTAATTCTGCATGGCAGGGAAAACCCTACAGGGCACCTCAGGCCAGTCCTTCCTGTCACAGGGGCTCACTCACTTGCCCTGCCTGCAGCACCCAAGTGGTCTCACCAAGCTTTAGCAAAACAAGCACACCTTTAATCCTTCCCAGGTACAGGGGACCTGTCTTCAGGTGGATACCACACACAAGACTTAAATTCCTTCACTCTAAGGGTGAAATATTAAAAACTGTGTTGAGGACCACTGATTTGTCTTCACAGAGTTTTCAAGTAGCTGTAAATAACATTCTGTGTCTCCATTCTTAATGTGTGTAGCCATACATTAAACATGCAGAAGTCCAAATTTCTAAGGAAAATTCATCTATTAGTAGCTCCAATTACTACCAGAATAAGCACAATAAGTGAAATCATATTTAATGTAAATCTCATCTTAAGCCTTTTTTAGAATGTTGAATTCTGTAATGACAGTCTTAGCTTTCAGAATATTTCCAAACTACAGGGAAATCACTTACATTTTCAGAAGTCCACAGCAAGTTTCAGACCTCACTGTGCTCCTGAGTTTCAGGAGCTTGCATTAATAGGACTGAGATTGAAAACATGGGTTTTTTTCTCAATTTTATCACCATCTCCACTGTACAGTGGCAAGCAGGTTATTCCAACCCTGGTGATTCCCACTTGGGTTTAAGAAGATGTCAGTGATGCCTAGAAAATACAGCACACTCACTTTTCCTGAGTGATTCTTCACATCTACCTAATACCTGTTGAAACCATGGCAGAACCATAATTTAGATCAGTGAACCAAACCATATTTCACTCAGTGGTATCAGAAGGTACAACCTCCCCTATGCTATATCCAAGCCCCAGTTGCTCTGTAACAGCAAAATTCTCAAGTTTAATTCTCTGTAGGTGTGACTACAGTAGAGGCAGCAGAAGGAACAGGTGGAATACCAATCCTGAAAGGTGTATTCAAGAGCCTGCAAAGGTTTCAAACAGAAGCCAGCCACTTTTTGAAGCAGATGTTGAAGTAATTCTGTGTTAGCATTCAGAATTTAAAGATCATTGAGAAATGCACAGAGACATGAAATTTAAATTGGTATGTGAGGTGAGAGTTGCTTTTTACCTATTGTAGCTATTGTTAAGTGAAGTCTCCAAGTATGAGTAGATTTTTAAAAGGATCAGTTTTGTGACATTTCATTACAAACTGGCAAACATCTATCAATCCAAAGAAGGAGTTAAGCCTTTTTACTGACAGCATAGTCTGTAATTAACACTTTAAAGCCATGTTTATTGACTAATTTGAATGCAGTGCTACCACAAGACTTAGTTTAATTCTCTATTTTTGACACTGATCTTTCTTTTTAACTAGATTAGAGTTGACTCTTCACCTCCTCATACCAATTGCATCATATCCAGGATGGTCTGTAGATAAGAGTGAATTCTTCATGAACATTTAGCTCCCAGTTTTCCAGACAACTTAGATTACACAATGATGCCAGGGAGCAGAGGTGCCTTTGTGCAGAGGGTGTTTAGGTCCTGCCAGGGTTACAAACTCAGTGCAGGACAGATGTGCTGCTCCCAAGGCCTGCCTGGGTCAGAAGTTAGTTAGAAGAGTTCAACTGCTCTTCCACAAGCTCTAGCACAGGACATTAAACACCTGAACCCAGTGAAGTCAGTTCTGTGAGCTCACCTCAGTGTTTGCAGGTGCCAGCACTGGGTGTTCAGGTAGCTGCTGAGAAACACCCAGCTCCCATCTGGACATTCCTCACTAAATATAATCCACTCCTCTGTCTCTGATTTGGCAGAATCTACTGCAGCTTCAAAATGCCAGTATAAGCCCCAATAGAGAAAAATCCTCAGAAAATTGTATGTTCTAATGAGACATTCCAAGCAAATAAAAACTTCCACTCGATTAGATTCATTTTTCTACTGAATATCAATCTGAATTTACCATAGGAACAGACCAATTACAGAACCAGCTTGAGCAGTACACAAAAATAAAGGAGACCATTCCCACTGGTTAATGCAACTTCCCACTGAAGCCACAAAACTTCTGGCACTGATCTAAGCTGAAGGGCTCACTGGGTGAAAACTTTGTATGGATAAAGCCTTAGTTCCAACATAAATACTGACTTATTTTTTGTTTTGTTTACAAAGTGACTCTACAATTTTAGAGCTATTTTTAAAGGCTTCTACACCAATTGAAAAGTTAACCACAATATCCTCTCCACCCAATAGCCCTCAAGATAAACACCCCACAAACAGCTCACTGCTGCTTGTAGCTCTAGCGTGGCAGGTGGCACATCCATTTTTGAGATGTTATATCAACACTTTTCCCCACCTGTGAGCAGGTTATCTTTCAAAAAGTATAAATATCTTCTTGGAAGGAGGAAGCCAGTTTGGTTTTGTGGTGCTACATGAGAATTTCATTTGGAAGCAGCCAATGAAGAACAAAAACACTCAATAATTATTTAGTAATATTACAAGTTAGAGAGTAGAATCATTTTCTGTATTAAAGTACTTTGGTCTTTAGGTAAAATAAAATCAAGATGTTCTGAATAACTGTCAAAAGTATCTATCTATGGTATATAATCAAGTCTTCTTGGTTTTAAATACTCTGTTTCAATTCTGGACACTTTAATTGAATAAATATGTTTACCTACTGTAACAGCTGAAAATATGATCCTCTACTGAAGTCTTTTAGCTTGTTAATAAAGTAAATTTCTTCAAGAACTTCACCTCTCATGGTAGAAAAGTACTACTAATTATTACTTAGCAGTGAGAAATGTGTTTCTAGTTTTGTAGGCTTGTCACAGTACTGCACATTTAACATATCTATATTCTTTTCAATCACTTCAATGGATCAAAGCCTGCATTTTACCTTTGAAAATGTTTATTTACCTAACACCTGCTTTAATGATATTTTGAAATTTAAATATTTCTTTTAAATAGACATGTACTAATCTAGGGTACATTCATGAACTAGCAAAAAGGAATGAACTATTTTAACAGGAGGTTTATGATTGTAAACTGAACACTTTCCCAGTTATACCCACTAATGCAATCTCAACCTCTACATAAATCTGAGAATAATCAGAAAAGCCATCCTGGAACATCCAAAAATATTTGCTCTGCGACTTCATTACTGCATGTCAACAAGGCCGTGAGCACCCACAGATTCACCAATTTTGGCTAAAGGAAAGCTAAATTAGGGTAAAAAGTTCAGGCCAATTCTCTTATGCTCTTGTAATATGGAACCTTCTACCACTGTCCCCCACAAATTTCCTGCATGCCTTTTTCTCAGCTCTTTTACCTTTGACTCTTAGCTGTAACAACACAAAGTTTTTAATGCATCACTGCCATCTTTTGGACTTCCACTAACACTACAGTTTTCCAAGCCAGGGACTGAAGTGCTGTCTGCACACAACATTTCATGCCTGCTCTTCAAGAATGTCCAGAAGCAACACGTTTATGCTGCATTCATTATCTGTTTGATGTTCAGCTACACACCTGGGTCTTATGCAATATGGGAATTTATTAGGCATTTGTCATCAAAACAGTTTAGAAAAAATCTTTTTCCTTTACCTTGGAATATGTATCATAAACCATGAAAGTCCCTATTTTAGGTGAAAGCAAAGCAAGAGTTCCTGGACATTCTGACAGTAATGGTGAAGCCTCTGCAGAGTGTTGCTATTGGCATCATTTTCCTTTCCCTTCTCTCCTCTAGCTACAAGGTCAATGCAAATAAATCCTCCTAGCTCAGACATTGCAACTTCTAATTCAGCCAAGCACTCATGCACACATATTTGTCTTTAGATCAATCCCTTGGCCTAGAGAGCCAAACACATAATCAGAGATACAAAGTGCTCAGAACAAGCAGCACTGGATGGCTGTGGGATTGTACAACCTAAGAACAGAAGAGATCATGAGTTCTCTCTCTTTCTCTGTGCACACTCAGCAAGTACAGAATTGCCCTCCTCACCTCTGTCTGCAGGATGGCAGCTCTTTGCTCTTTAGCTGTAAGAGACTCTTTGAGAACCTCGATGTGCTGCTTGCTGTCAGAGAACTGATTGGTGAGGGTCTCCAGCTTGGTCTGCAGCGCCAGCAGCTCCGTGTCCTTGCGCGACAGCTCCTGTTTCACCTGGCCAATCTGCAACACACAGAAAGGATGGGCAAAGGGACAAATCATTTATGCCTTCCTTACAAAATTTACTATAAATACACATAACTATCAACCAACTCTAAAATTAACCCACAGAACTATGAAGCCTTCAGTTATCTTGAGTGAAAAGCTGGCAAAAATTTGTGTCATGAGCAAAGGATACAAGGAAAAAGAGAGGGGAGCAATGTCATCAATTTTTCAAGGGAGGTTCTTTTTAATAGTGGCAGTCTGTTGTTATTCATCTTCCAAAGGACTGGCCAAACCCAGACAGGTAACAGGGATAAGGTTTTAATGAAGATGAAGCAGAACTGTAATGACAAAGCACCCCTAGCCTGTAATATCAGAGCAGATGAGACACCTGCAGGGCTCTCAGCAGCACCACCTTTGCTTTGAAATGTCAAATCACAAAGTTGCCCTCCAGCTCCTCACCTATCAATCCAGCCTCATGCTTACAGAGGATGTGAAGTCATCTTTACTTTTCTCATCATTTACAAAATCAGCATTTTATTCTATGAAACACACTTTAGTTTGTGGAAGTTTCTAAAAGCAGACGCAAATATTCATCAAAACAACATGAAAACTGTTTATGGAACTGCACTTTGTTGAGAGCGATTTCCTACATTTAACGTAGTGAATTAGATCAGTACAAAAATGCAAATTTATTTCAACAAATGTATGTTGGATTTTTATTAAGAGAAAAAACCCTAGGAAATTAAAAAAAAAATTAATAAGCAATTATATTATCTAAAATCTTAATTTAAGTGCAATAATCACTCAGGACAACTTTTATTAAGTCTGAGAAAAAATATTCATAAAAGATGACAGAGAAGTCTAAATGTAGTTTTAAGTCCAAGTTAGTAACCAACTTTCTGGTTTGCTTCCTGTCTCACAGAATAGCAATATTTTACTGCTACATATTATATAGCACAGGTGGATGTATCTCTAAAAACTTAAAAGTCTTTGAACAATTCTGTATGTGACATTAAAAAAAATTCCTTAGCCTCAAAAGTGCATTGACCAGTGCTTAAAAGCATAAATTAAAGGACATCACAAGATAAAAAAATTGTCCATGTCACTGCCCATATCTGGAAACATGAACAAAATAATAGTATAGTTTATAATTTGTTTTTAAAGTTTTTGATTAGAATAAATGCACATACTTGTAGGAATAACTGAGGAAAAAAAACTTGGGTAAAAGCAGTTTTATATTGACAATATTTTTTCAATAATGGGCAATTAAAGGAAGAAAACGCTTTACCAAAAAGTATTAAAATAGTATCAAAATAGTTAACCCAGGACTCCTGTGTTCCAGTGTGAAACTCTACATGAGGGAATGGGGAAGGAGGACATGCATCTCAAAAAACCTCTCAAACTCATTTTATTAAATGGAACACTGAGAAGGTATATAAGAATTTACAGAACTACTCAATAGTTTGCTGTTCACTAATTCAAACCTGCTAAGTTGGTTTTTTTTCATATTTTACTAAAAGCAAATATGCCCAGAGGATGATTCTGCCACCTATTTCAATTCACCACAGAGGTATTGATGTCAGCTGCACTATTTCTGCTGTCAGCCACCAGTTGCACAGTACTGCCAGGCACAGAACAACTGCTGCAAAGAGCTGAATTATTTACTGGCTATCTTTTCTAGAGTATCTAAACAAAAAAGCCTCCTTAAAAAAATCTCAGATGACACAAACTTTTTCAATTAGTAAGTAGATGGATCAGAGTAAAACTTTCTCAAAAAGACAGATTGTTTTTGGGCATATCTCAGAAGAGGTGTTTACCACATTTCATCAGGTGAAGCTTCCCAAGCAGCCCTGTGAGATTCTTGTCTCCCATTTCAGAGCTGCAAGCCCACCCTGCCAATGTGCCAGAGCTCTTTAGTAAGAATGCAGCACACACCATCCATATTTGCAAGAGAAGTAAAAACAGCATCAAGTGCTCACATCTCTCTTCTTGATGAAACCATATTCACTCTTTTGAGTGAAACTCCAACTTCACAGCAAATAACCTAAATTCATGCTGCTAAAATCCAGCAATCCGTTTTAAAAGCGTTCAGCATCCAGATTTCATTATTTTCTGTGAAACAATGTTAAGAGGGTTTGACACAAGTTTTCAAATAATTTTTTTTACTAAGAACAGGAAATCTCTTTGAAAGTCTGTCCACAAAATGGGTGCTGAATGCTTTTGAAAATCTGCTTCAGTAGAGAAGAGTAGGTTATTGCTCAAACCATTAAAAACAGCAATAAAACAAATACAGATGTTCAGCTGGAGAGTGATGTTATTTATGGACCCCAAAACCACGTGAACAAAAAGGTAGCTACAAGGCTGAGCAGGCTGTTAGTTCTACTGGTTATATCAAGCCATGAAGGAGGTAAGAGAAGAAAGCCAGAAGAGCTAGCAAGCCCCAGTGAATGGCCACTGCACACAAAAGAGAGATCTTACTGCAGAGACCTCGGTCTGGAGACCAGCCACTCTTTTTTTCAGGTCCTCCCCTTGAGCCTCTTTGGCACTTAGCTCTTCCTTCAGTTGCTCTACCTGTCACGACATTGTTATGCTTTTAAATATTTATTATTTGTCAGCTTCTAGTCAGCCTGTTTCAGTCCAGCTGACTGAAAGTGACAAAGAACCGAACAGAAGGATCAACACTGGTCACTCATATCCTCTTCCATTCTTCAGTAAGTCCTCTCAAAAGTTTAATGTCTGTGTCATTTCATATAAGCTGCCTGACAAGAATTTGATTATGAAACAGAAGATATACAATTATGGTTATGTTTACATATGTCAAGTATGTGGCACTTATCCCAAGGGTATTGAAACTGCAGTTCATGAGGAAATTACAACAGGAAAAAGGACATACTTCAGCTTAAGAGAAATAAGGTTAATTGTCAAGCTACAGCCACAAATTACTTATACAATGCTGAAAAAAAAATGCTGTGCAATTACAGAACAAAGTAGGACAGCAAGATGTGAGGATTGGAGATGGCCATGAGTCATGAGCAAACAGATACCAAAAAGGAAGAAATTTTCTGCAGGAAAATAAGTGAGCAGACCAGGAGACAGAAGAGAAATCCAGTAGCTGAGTAGATCTATAGATCCACAGAGGGAGAGGACAAGGGGAAATGGAAGAGTTGCTAACAATGAAAGAAGGAAAGACAGAAGAAAAGATGGAAGGAAGTGGTGCTCTAATCTCCTCCTCCATTCCTAATTTGAACAAGGTGCCTTTCAGTTCCTAGAAGCAACCCAGTGGGATAAGGAGCAAAAGTAAGAACAGATGTGGTTATCTCGAGGTGTTTCAGTGAAATGGTGTGAGGCAAGAGGAGGGAACCCATCCTTAGTACTCATATCTACCTCAGGGCAAGCAACACTGCTTCCTCCAAGATGCTTCACCCAGCATTCTTTATGTGACCAATAATTTCAAGTAGGCCAAATGCAGTGGGTTACAATTGTTCAGGACCTAGTAGAGTAATTTTCAACCTCTGTTCCAGGGTTTGTATACTGCTTGCAGGGAGTACACATAAGTTAATTTAAAAAGGCAGGACTGTTCACAATATACTTAAATTTACTGCACAAGAAGGCCTGAACCTTCACTAAAGAATGTTAGGACCCACTAAAAGACTGAGAAACAAAGAATGGGTTGACTTCTGCCTACAGACAATTCAATAGCCAGTGTCCACCTTTACACATGAGGACCAACAGCTCTCACTGCTGTATTTGTCCTGTATTCCAAACAACAGAATTAATGTCAGCACCACCACTGTTACAGACTCTGCTCTCATGCTGACTCCAATGCTGGAAGGAGAGTGTAATGGAAAACCATTATTGTGACAGTTCACCCTCTTCTCAACTTTTACATAATGGAAAGGCCAAACAGTTATATTATACAGCAACAGCCGCAAAAATAAATATATTATTTTCAATGAAGTATCTTTGGAAAGACATCCGACAAAATAAAACCTGAAACAATAATTGATGAAAAGGGAGAAAGGGAGAAAGGGAGAAAGGAAGAAAGGAAAAGGGAGAAAGGGAGAAAGGAAGAGGGAGAAAGGAAGAGGGAGAAAGGAAGAGGGAGAAAGGAAGAGGGAGAAAGGAAGAGGGAGAAAGGAAGAGGGAGAAAGGAAGAGGGAGAAAGGAAGAGGGAGAAAGGAAAAGGGAGAAAGGAAAAGGGAGAAAGGAAAAGGGAGAAAGGAAAAGGGAGAAAGGAAAAGGGAGAAAGGAAAAGGGAGAAAGGAAAAGGGAGAAAGGAAAAGGGAGAAAGGAAAAGGGAGAAAGGAAAAGGGAGAAAGGAAAAGGGAGAAAGGAAAAGGGAGAAAGGAAAAGGGAGAAAGGAAAAGGGAGAAAGGAAAAGGGAGAAAGGAAAAGGGAGAAAGGAAAAGGGAGAAAGGAAAAGGGAGAAAGGAAAAGGGAGAAAGGAAAAGGGAGAAAGGAAAAGGGAGAAAGGAAAAGGGAGAAAGGAAAAGGGAGAAAGGAAAAGGGAGAAAGGAAAAGGGAGAAAGGAAAAGGGAGAAAGGAAAAGGGAGAAAGGAAAAGGGAGAAAGGAAAAGGGAGAAAGGAAAAGGGAGAAAGGAAAAAGATCAGTGTGACAATAAAAGGAAAACTTGAGCCACTGATCTTACTGAAAAACCATTATAATATTTTCAATTAATTTTTTCAAATTTTCAAAATATTTCAATTTCAAATTTTCTTACATATTTTTAAGTTATTTTAGTGGCTTCATGGCCAGGTACTAAATCGATTCTGTTTCCCGGCATCTGACTGGGAACCCAGACCACAATTCCCAACAAAAGCATGCACATTTCTCTGCCCTGTTCACTCAGCCCAGTTGAACACAGGGCTGTCAGGTGTTTTCCCAGTACCTTGTTTTTCATGAATTTGGAATGGCTCCGGTACACCTCCATTTGCTTCATCTCCTCCTCCCGCTCCTCCGTGCTCAGGGCTCCGTTGGACTTCAGCATCTGAATCTCCTCTTCCAAATCCCGGAGGCCACGCTCCATGGAAGAGATTTTTGAATCCTGGAAGTGATTAGAGGAGATGGGTAAAGACATACAGGTGATTTTTGTTAGCATACTGTTGTAAAAAAACGAAAGGAGATTTGTTTTGAATAAATTACCTGCCCTTGAAATTTACTTAGGAAGTTCTTAGAGATATCAGTGTTCAACTCTTTACATATGACAGCTCAGATATTCATTTTTCAATTTAGTTTTTACCTTTCAAGGAAAGCAAGAGTATAGTACTGAAATAAAACATGGTTCAGGGCAGAAACATCATGTAGGATGAAATAAATAAATAAATGAGTAAATAAAGGAACGTGAGGAAATGTTGCCTTTTCAGAAAGAAATGTAATTCTAATTGAATGGACAGCAAAATGTGACTGCAAGAATGGTAAGAAATTGGGTTTGTGCCACTAGTTAATTTAAGTGGGGTCACAAATGGGGAACAGCAAAGCACCATAAGCAAGGAAAATGTGCAACAATCCATTATTGATTGGATAAAGCAGTAAAGGATTCTGGCTCATATGTACAATGCATAAAATATTTCAGTGGGTTAAAAATAGCCATGTGGAAAAAGAAAGTCAATCTATCATTATGCTCATACAGGATGATCAGAGGTATTCATTCTGTGTACCTGGTTTAGTGTTTCTTTACAAATCTTTTGTGTTAGGAGCAGCAAGAACAGACTCACACAGAGCTCCATGCATACTCATGATCATGGATATGTATTCAGGAACTATTATCTCTTAAGGCAGACTGTGTTTTTCCTATTTCATTTCACCAAAATATTTAGTCTTTCCTGAAAGACAGATCTGATTTGAAACTATACTACACACTTTGATGAAGAAAACCTTCCTAACTTTTTCTTTGCTAAACAAAGCACAGCTAAACAAAAAGCTGATTTTTTTTAATATAGGTTTTCATTCATGAGAAGATATTTTTAAAAGCATCATTATGAAGATCTAACTGGATTTCCTGATTAATGTTTGATACTTAGGTTAAAATTGATAAAGTGGATTTTTGCAGCAAAAAAGTAGAGGTAGTAAGGTAAAATGATATGTTGAAATTGACAACAGTATTTATCTTCAGTGCTCACATGATTTCCCAGAAATGTCCCTGTGTTTCTCTTTTGATAGCAAAGATACCTAATGTTACCAGATGGTCAACTAGTTTCCATTACTATGGACCACAAGGATGACTAATGAAAGAGTGATATCAAATGAAAGATGGGATATAAATAAGGAAAACACTGATATAGAATGGAAAAAGCTGCAGGAGAAGAAAAGGAAGGAAAATAAAATAAAAAGGAGGGATACAAAATGGAAAAGAACAGCTTGCAAAGACAGTTTCCAATTTTTCAACTCCATTTGTCCGTCCAAACCCTGTCTGATGTACTTTATGAGCAATTCAATATGAAATATGATTGCATAAAGCTGTGTAAACCACACACTTGATTATGGCTCCTGAGCTCTTGGCCAATTGCCATCAGTCCATTAAATACTTACACTAATGGCTTAAGAATTCAATCACAAATTCATTTAGAAAAGTTAGGTTTATGATGGCATACAGACATATTTCTAGCTATATGACCCATTCTTTAAGTGGGTGTTGAGTTTGCTAACTTTGCTAACACACAGAATGCAGAGCAGTACTTCAAACGTTGATAACATAAAAAGAAAAGAACCCACATCATAAAATCCCACAAATCTTTCATATTAACTTATCATTCCTGTTCTTGTAATATAATGAACTTTTGCTTAACTGCAAGAAATCTCTATCTGCTGCTGCAGGCAGACAGAAGACAAGTTTCTACTGTGTCTGTCTCTTCAGTGATCAATAGTAACAAAATAATAATAGATAATAATAATAGATAATAAAACAGTATAAAAATGTACTTATTTTAAATTACAAGACTGACAGAAGCATGTGGTATTTGGTAGAGTCACCTTTCAGATGAAAGCCCATTTTCCAGAGAACAAATTCTACTGCTGCCCATGCACAACCACCATTTACCTTCATCTCAATAACAGTTTGGAGAGCCTTTGTCTTGGCCGTGTCGGGAGCGTTCTCAAATCGACGATGGATTTCCTGTGCCAGCAGAAAGGAAAGCAAGAGTCAGACTAATGGCAGGGCCCCAGTACAAACATCATTACTAGAAGCTTCTCTTTCTAATACACAGCATAACTCAGTGCTGCTTTCTGGTGTTGCCAGTCCACTCATTTTATCACTTCTCCTATCACAGAAAGGATTGCCAAAAGTTCATTCAACAGAACCCCAGCCACAGGTAAAAAGGCCCAGCACAAACTGCACCTTTGACTCCCCTCTTACTCAACACAAACTTGAAATGACAGCTGGGTCTACTACAAAGCTCCATCACCTGCCTGCTAAACTAATCTGAACTCCTGATAGTTTCTCATGGAAGACATACACATAATGCACTTCACTAGAGGCTTACTGAAAACAGCAACACTGTGGTTTCTATTTCAGCAAGTTATAAAGCACAGCTGTTGTTAACTCTCTTTTTCCAGCATTTTTTACCCCAGAGTGGCAACATTTAACTATAGAGGATGAAAAATCTTTCTCAAGGCTCTTGGCCTTGAGCACAGCTGAAAATACATGACTGTAGAGCACATTGCTCTAGAGGCTCAGGGGATGCAGACAGGAGGATACAAAGTCCATGTGATATTTCTGTTGATGTAAATTCACACCAATATCATGCATCAAACTGCTTGCTAAGGGATAAAATTACACAAAGCTGAAACAACTTGTTCTGTCATATTCAAGCTAGCACGTGGTAGAAAGAGGAGAAACAATATAGAAACTATTAACACTCTTTCACCCTTTGCCTTCCAACTGTACTGCCCTTACAGCACACTCTCATGTTAACTGCAGGAATGTGAATTCTGTTAGAATGTTAATCTTATACACCAGAAAAATACTTTGGTGCCCACAGAGCACCAACTGTGATGCCAACTAATCTAACAATGGATTGTGTCATGTGCCCACACACACAGTTCATCCATCCACTCCCCTCAAACACCTGAGAAACAAATCCCAAGAGCCATTCACAAATTGGTATTTTCAACAGAAATTGTGAAGAGCTAAAATTCTGTATGGCAGTCATCCATGCCAACTAGGTCCAGAAGATTAATTATTTGAATGAAAAAGGTAGAGTTGCACAGTACTTTTAAAAAATACTGAGAACACTGCTTGTAAGATTGTGAAGCTCCTACACAGCTCTGAAATAACCAAGATTGAAATGTGTTGTGACATGCCAAGGGCCACAAGAACCTTGCATAAGTCTGGCATAAGACCATTTGCATAAGTTGTTGCCCATGAATGGAATAACAAGAGACTCCAATTGAAGGTTTCTCTGGTTTTCAACATTATATTTGTGTATTTTCTGAGCAGATATTTTGACAACTCTGTTTGCAGCATACATTGGTATTCTCTGAAATAAAAAAAAAATCTCCTGAAAAAATGAACTTGAAAATCCCCCTAAACATATTTGTTTCTCCTAGAGTCAACAGAAAACTTGAGAGCCTCTGCACAATTATTACTGGCACCACATAGACCAGAGTGGAGCAACATTATTATTATTCTACTTACCTGTACCTGCATTCCCCAAATGGATTTACTCAAAGAAATTAAAAGAAACTCTTGTGAGCTTATAGCAACTAAGAAAACAAAGGATAAGGTGGCTGAAAATTAACATGCCATAAATCTATTCTGGACACTGTATTATTTTTATTTTAGTAGTTAGGTAATTTCCACTTGTGCAGAGGCACTATTTCTGACCTGAGAATATAAAATCAGCTGCTGCTATGGAAATGGGATAGGTGGAATACACAGCAGGAGAACTGCATGTCTGTAAAGGGGTGCTGACACAACAGTGTCTGCTTCCACCATTGCTCAGTGTTTTCCCAAAGAGAAAATTCTTCTAAGCTCCTTCTTGAGAAATGCCTGCATTTCCTCTATGTGAAGTGATGCTCTGCACTTCAGCAAAGGAAATGTCCTACTTCTATTGCCTTAAGTAATTCCACTGTGATTTGGATGACATAACCTGCTGAAAAATAACACCTCCCAGCCCCTGACTGCACACAGGAAGGGCTTAATTTTGGCAACATGCCTGCAATCCTGAAGAGCCTGGAAAAAAAAGCTACAGGCAGACGGAGCCTCTCTGGAACACAGACTGAAGGAAAGCAGTCCCCTTCTTAATTAGGAAATACAGGCTGCATCCATGTGGCAGAATGGAAAAATACTCATCTATCATATCTCTGATGTGTTCAGATTCTGTTGTGGACACACCCCCCATAGATGGATGAAAATTAAGATTTGAACCTGTGAAAGAGAATTTTGTGCAATAGGTAAAAACACAGGGTCACATATCAGGTTCAGAAAAAGAGAAACTCAGTCCTTCATTCCTTGCAAGTTATCCATTCTGATAAAGTAATACAGGATTTTTTCCTTTCCTTTACTTCCACACATTAAGAACTTTCTTATGTAATTGCTATTGTTTCCTAACAGGTAAGTAAAATTTAGCATCTTTGCACCTTTGAGTGCACATTAAATTAATATAACAGGGGGTGGCTCATACAAATCTCTTCTACGTTTCTATTGCTTTCATATGTTCAATAACACCTTCATTTAAAAGTAATAGCGAAAAGGAAAAATAAAATTATGGTGCAAATTGATTGCAACTCTAAAGTACATTCACAGGCAACAAAATTCCAAAATGGCTTCCTCTGTCCAAAAAAATCTTTAAGATTCAATAACTAGAAACTGAAATAGCTTTTATAGCTAGAAATAGTCAGAAGTTCTAAACAAGGTGGGCACCTATTCCAGAGTCGGGGTTTATATTTCATTTTAATTTTTAATTAAGAATATCTATCCTCCTTTTCAAGAAAATCTAGCACAGGAAAAGACAGGAACTAAAGGTGTGTATCATAATTACACCTGCCAAGTAGTCCTGCAAGGCAGCACAGTGCCCCTGTAAGGAACAATACTCTAATTTTCTGGTCAGCATAATTACATAGAATAGCTAATGAAACACACTGAGAACACTGAATATGTAAAGGATAGCTGTGATAAAGTGATTTGAACACACCATAAATAGTTACAAAGTCCATGGGGTTTTTTTGAAAATAATTCAAAATTAGAGAATATAGTTTAGAATTGAAGGAGTCCTCAATACTGAGCAGTAATATCACTGTAATTTGTACACAAGTGCATAAAAATGAGGGTTGAATTTAGTCCAAACCTTTTCCTCCTTCATAACCTGGCCATTGTTATTCCCTCAGTTGCTCCTGTGTCTGATTTTGCACAGAATTCAGGACAAATGTGAAGGTGCACTTTCAAACAATCATGTTTTTATAGTGGGGGAGGCTATATGCTTAAAAATACAGCAACTTATCTATCAGTAGCCACAAGACAAGCACTTTCCAAAGCCATAAAGGACGTGCCTTCCATCTCCTGCCAAACTTGCATTATCAGGCAGCACATTCCACACAGAGAGTAACAAAAATGTGCCATTTCATAAATTAATTTTTTTTTAATTGCTATAAAACATTATGTGTAATTAAAAGCACAGTCATGATTCTGGTTTTTTTAAATCTCAACTGTACTATCCATATCTCTGAGTAATCAGTTATGATGTCCTGTGCTGGATCTTTGCATCTTTCATTGGACTGGAGAGCTTTGACTAAAAGCCGTTTTTATTCTCCAACCTTGTCCTCCAGACCTCAGTAAATGAATGTTATATCTTTTGTACTTAAAGTTTAGTCTCTCAGATGGCTTTCTGCCTGCCTAGATTTTAGCAACCTAGTTCCAATTAATTACAATAAAACGCAAATGTTACAACCAAAGTAAAATTTTAGGAGCATCCATCAGCTCAGTATTAATGATAATTGTTAATTAAAAATTATTTAGTAGCTATAGGAGATAAAATAGGTCTTTAGCTGTGTAGAAGGACAAATCATACCTGACTAACCTGATTTTCTCCTACCTGTCTGCGTGACTAAGTGGGGGACAATGGGTGTTCCATGTCCCAGGGCCTCCAAACATGCCTGGAGACAAATTTGTGAGCCACAGGCTGGGTAAGCAGTTCACAAAGCAGGTGGCTCCAAGCCTGGTGATGATGAGCACTGAGGGGTCCAGTGGGCAGCAGCTTCCCCCTGACTACCCTCAGTGCCTTCATGATCTGAAGAATGGACAGACAGCAGTCCCAGCAGCTTACAGACCTATGGAATTTGGGGAAAACATGAATTGGATCAAGCTACGTGGCCTTGATGTGGACAAACCCCCAGAGCAGCCCAACTGCACCCAGGGCTGAGTGAGAGTGAGCAAGAGTGCAGAAGCAGGAGGTGGGAAACAGGAGCTCCATGTGTGCAGCCCTTGTGAGACCACTGCTGGAGCACTGTGCCCAATTTTGGGCACCCCAGTACAAGAAAGGCACTGAACATCTGAACAGAGTCTGACAGACACACGATGCAAGGGAAGAGAGTGAGAATAAAGTGTTTCTTCAGCTGAAAAGAAAAGGCTTGGGGAGAAACTTGATGCCTGCTAGAACTAACTAGAGGCTGTAGAGATGATGGAAACAAAAGTCTTTTCAGAAGTGAAAGGATGATAGGCAACAGGAAGCATTTCCAGCACGGAAAATTTAGACCTGCTAATATGAAAAAGATTTTACCAGGAGAACAACCAAATGCTGGAGCAGGTGCCCAGAGAGGCTGTGGAATCCCCCGCCGCTTGAAATTGCTGGTTTGAGCAGAAGGTTGCATGAAATAACCTGTGGGAGAGCCCTTTAATCTGCATGACTCATTTGTATAAATATCTTTACTACCTGGTGCCAGAAGGTGACTGGATAGTACCACAATTGTTTAGTTTCAGCATTTTTTATGCATTTTTTTTTTCAAAAAGTGGTCCATACCAGTAATTTTACCTTCTATTTCAGCAAGATGTAAAAATGAGCTGAAACAAAACCATGTAAGAGTCCTGCAGAATTTATTTCATTGCTATTAGAGTTTTTGCTACTAAAATTATATAGTTATACAAGTCTGGAAGCAGTAATCATGGCAGTTCCTTCGGAA